CGAAAGTGAATGCAATCAGAAATGGAACGGGAATCAGCTCTGTCCAGGCACTGAAACTATAATTTTCAGTACAGTATCTAAACAGCAACATCCAGTGCATTCCATCCTCCATTCTGCTGGGAAAAGAAGAAACACAACAAAAGTGGGAGCCATTGATAAATTACTCAAATACTGGAATCTCTCGCAACTACTCAGACTCTGTTGGCACAGTCTGCTGCAGGGCCGGAGGAGCCTGGCGGGCGAGAGGCGGTGCCCGTGCAGAGATCCAGCCTGCAAGGGCAGCTCCAGGCACAGCCAGAGCCCGCTCACTCTCTGTGGGACATGCAGGACCTCGTATGTCCGGCACCTCAGCAGCCCCAAATGGTCTTCGGCTTCTGGGTGAGGCAGATGTGCGGAGGAGAGGTACCCAGATGAGTGCTCACTGCCATCCCCAGCTCCGTGAGTTCCCAGCAGCGTGGATGCGGCCAGTGGTCCTCATCCAGCAGTGACCCCTCCAAGGCCCGTCTGTGAGAGGGTCATCGCAGACTCAGCTCCTAACGTGGGCAGGAGAGCTGCCTTTAAACATGTGCTGGAACTGCAGATTTCAGTGAGAATGCCAGACCCTGTTGTTCCCTCAGTCTGTGCCCAGCTCTTAGATAGAAGGTCCCATAGAGTTCATTGGGACTGTCCTATATCTAAAAGAAAGACCTGCCAGCTGTCTGCCAGTTGCAGGGGTGACAGAGGGTGACAGGGCTGTGGCTGACACGTGGGCGCTGCCCACTTGTGTAGTGGGATAAGCAGCAGAGATGTATAAACCCTCCCTAGGCCCCATAGCTGGATCTAGCCTTGTGCAATTCTTTGCCAGGTCAAAAGTACAGTTGAACAGAATTGAGGTCAAAACCCCTGTAAGTAATACCCTTTTTTCTATATTTCTATGTTTGTTCTAAACAAGTAGTTATTTCTCTGTCTGCTGCAATTCACCTTTCTTGTGGTAGTATGAAAAAGACAAATTAAGAAAATTAAATGCATAAATTTCTACCTATCCCTACCTACAGCCCCGTTTGAATACATCACAGTGAATCTTGTCATTCATGGTAATACGAGACCCACAACACGGAGACAACAGCAACGCTGATGCTTATCACCCGGGCTACGCTTCGCAGCAGTGAGCTGTGTTCTCAGCAGAGCTTTTTCTGGGTTATGACTCATGCAGAGCCCTGCTTTGCTGCTCCTCTCCCACCTACTCTGACAAACAAGAGAGTTACAGGTAAATAAATAAATAACCAGCTATTATTATCAACCAGAATTCAATAAAGAAATTTCATAAAGATATTGCTACATGTCTTGCATGCATGTGCATCTGGATCCTGAATCCAACATCACTTGTGCAATGACCTGTGCCTTGCCCCCTCCCACTCTGAAGCCTCAGTTGAAGCTCTCCTGTTTCAGGCCTTCTTCTCAGTTACTGCCATTTACCTATAGCAGTAGGCAAGCGGTGAAAGGAGGTTTCTGAGGACTCTTCAGCCAGGGAAGAGTAGGTGGAGGGGTTGGGAGGAAAAGACGAAAAAGCCAAAGGATGCAAGCAGTAGGGTAATTACAGAAGCAAGTCTGGGCAGTGGGTGAGAGCTTGCCGACAGCAGCTCTGTCATCCTGCTTAAGGTCTTTCTAACGATGTAGGTAGGGTTTGGGGTTTATTTGTAAGGGTTTCACCTTTCTCTTTTTTCTCTGTGTGTCTCAGCACAGTTAAAGGTAACCAGATGGAAGCTACAAGAGCGAGTCAGAGTTTATCTGAGGCTGGTGGAGAGCACCCTTCACCCTACCCACAGTAGCATAGCTGAGCCTGCAGGGATTTCAGGAGCTGAACGGTGGGGCCAGTGGTCTTGTACCACTCAGTTAACTTTGACAAAGTGAATTAACGTAGGAGTGAATTAACGTCTGGATGGGAGAGGATATGTCCTCTATGAGCATGCTTTGCCTATGCTACTTTTCATCTCTTTGATAGATTAGTGAAGTGGCAAAATCTTGACATAATCATAAACTCTTGACTACCTGAAAGTAGGGAAGGCCTTTTCACGGCTCACCAAAAAAGGGGACCTCAGTGTCTGTTAAGATGTCTAGGCACAGCCAGAAAGTAAACAGTTACAATAACAGTGTTCATGTATGACACATTAGGATACCATCAGGGTGCACAGCCAAATGACTTAATCTTCTATGAAGATACTTTTATTGGGAGCCCATTAAAAAGCTGCTATAAATTCATTCTTTTGGCTGAACTGGTGTAAGCACCTCAAAACATAGCAACAACTTTCCAGTTTCTTGAGCGTTAGGCTTTTGGGCTCATCTTTCTGAAACACTTAGCTGTTTCCTCTCCTCCTGCCATTTTATGTTATTTTCTTTTTTTGAGGGAGGGGGAAATATTTTTTTGGTGTGCTAATATTGCAACAGTGAAGCTCTTCCCTCAGGCTGTTTTTATTTTGTGGACATCTGAAAGATTTGGGATCAGATTACATACTGGCAAGTAGGACAATGGCATTGCCATAATGAGCTGGAGGCTAATTTATAGGCTTTGCAGTTGTGAATGCATTAGCATGCAAATCATGAGCAGCCTCTGCCTATAAATAAAAGAACTTACCTTGCCAAGAGATGGCTGTCCCAAAAATGTAATGAGTATTATAAATTATAAGCAGGTGTTAGATTTCAGCTTCCTTTGTATTCTTGTTTGCGCTTCTCTAAGGGAACATTGAAAGATAAAAGGTACAATACAGTGCATGGCACAGGCAGCTATAATCTTTGCTGCCCAGTGCTATTACTACTTTTACCAACTGCTACTCCTTCTTTTGTTAGAAAAAGAGCTATTCAGACTTGTCAGTGACTTTGAATAATATGTTACTACATGGTACTACTTGGAAAAGGAAGGATGAACCGTGCTTAATGCACTGAACTGACCTGTGGCTTATGAGAAATTTTCTATTCACAGTTCTGCCTCAGACATAGCGCTTCCTCACACTTTGTGTGTGGTCTTGTGCAAATCATTTAAGCAGCACTATTTCTTTAGCTAAGCAACCAGCAAAATTAAAGCTTGTTTTACCTGTGTTTTTTGTTTAGATAGTGTTTTGGGGTAAACCCTGTCTTTACTGTCTATCTGTAGAGGGATATGTATGTTGGCACATGTCGGGCACTCCTGGCAGCAGAAATAACAGCAGAAATAGCTTCTGAAGTTACAAATTCAGAATATACTTAGGAATTAAGTCAGATCACAAATTCAGAAGATATTTAGGAATTAGCTCAAATCCTATGAGAGCAAAAATCTAAGGTTTTTCTCTTTCTTTTGGAACTTGATGAGAAGAACTTACCAAGACTGCACTTACTGATCTAATTGGCTCTATCAGGCCGGGAACACATGCAGTGCTGATGTCTCTATGACTTTGCCAGCTTCCTGACACTCCCTACTTCCCCAAAATACCTTTTAATGACAGAAGAGCAGAAGCAGCAAAACTGAGGAATTCCTACAAGTTTCATCAAAAGACATTGCCTTCTGGAGAAGAGAAGCCCAGAGTATTGCCTTCCCCGCCTAAGGGAGAAGCTCTACAGTGAGCTCACAGAGAACTGCAGAACCATTAACTTTTGATGCTCATAGAGCTACTCATTTCTTCCTGAAGTCATATTTTTTTGAGGTTCACTCCAGTGGAAGAAAAATCACTTTCAGGTGAAATAGGCCTGCTGGAGAGAAGGCACACTGACAGCTTTGCTTGTTTTATGGACATGTTACATCAAGCTAAGCCTTTGCCATCTGCTCTGCCCCCGACTGTAAATGGGAAAAAAACCCAACCAAACAAAGAGAACAAATCACAAGAGCATCAAGGAGATAAAAGTGATTTAACTGCCTGTATATGCTCTGCCAACAATGCAGCTTGCACTGAAGATGATCTTTCTCATGATTCAGACACAAATCATGAAGAAAACAGTTCACATACAACACACTAAATGTCCTGCTGAGCTGGAGTTTCCTTGAAGCAAACCTGACTCCACAAGAGCGTTCAACTGTACTTCTATGAAATTATGCGAGCTTTATGTAAAGAATGTCCTTAAATGTTTTTTATATTGTTTCCAGCTTGGCAGTAAGTCACAATAGGGTGTGAAATATTTACAGGATAATGCCCATAGTGGAGGAATGCGTGAGGAAATAAATGGCTTTTGTAGGTAACTGAACTGAGACTTCTGAGAAGCACAGAAGGCATTCACTGAAAATATGTCTCCGTGCCATGTTCAACAAGGAAACAGTTGAACAAACACAAACGTGAAGATGGTAGTTTTCTGGCCATGTGAGAATTTGGGAAATACATGCAGCTAGTTTGCTAGAGAAAAGCCATCAGAAAGCATTGAGGTGAACAGATTAATGGGGCAAATAATTAAGAGAGGGGAAAAAAGCAATGAGATTCAGCACATGCAGGTGTCAATAACGATGCATCATCCTTGGGAAGCTTACATTTTGCACTCAGTGACAAATCCTCGTATCGACATACAGTTTGTTATATAGTATTCTTGCTGCATTATTAAGCACAAAGACAAAAGACATGAACCATCCATGCAGCGTAACGTAAATCACCGTAATGCTCATTCAGGGTTTTCCCTTAAGAAATGAAATTATAGTCGAATGTGTTGTATTCATCTGTGGAATGCAAATTCCTGTAGAACTGGATTCATTGTGAGCATAACGGGGAAAGATCATTAATGAAAAGATTAACAAGCAGTGTATCTATTCCCTGAATTTCTCTTTAAGTTAATTAAGTTAGTAAAATTTAAGTAGCATCCAGACATTTGATTCTCTCTCAGGATTATGAAACGAGAGACTCTAAATTGTGGTATATATATGCCTCCACATAAAAAAAAAATAGGCCTACCTCTTCTGCTGGTGTAACTCTACTGGACTGTCTTCTGTGATTTTGAAGGACCTGTGTCAGCTCACAGTCTTGCAAATACCTACAGTGGCTAACCTCTATTTACAGCAACGGCCTACGAGAATGAAGGCAGAGAATACAGGCATTGCTGCTGCGCTCCTCAGAGGGTCGAGTGCATGCCCGTACACTGAAGTATCCAGCAACTGCAAGATATGTGTAAGGTATGTTAACTTGTGTTATTGGGAAGGATTGTGGTAGCTACAGGACTTGCTTCCACTGCTGAAGGGAAATCGTATAACAGCGACTGACCCCTGCGCAGGAAGGTGTGTCTTCATTCAGTGGCCGATAACAGTAAATTAGTTTACAGCTATTTGCACAAGGCTAAACGGAAACAAATGGAACCTGGGAGCTTAATTAAAAAAAAAAAACAAAACCAAAACAAACAAAAAAAACCCAAAAAATTTGTTTTTCATATATTTTGTATTTATATCTCCTTAGGTAACATGAATAAATCCACTTATTTTGATATCTGCATTGCTGTTCCTTAATGAGTCAATGATGCTCTGCTCTTCTGCACCATAAAGATCAGCTTACTCTTGACATGAGCAACTATTGGACCAATTTCTTCCTCCATGAAGAAATTATTCAACTTAGATACTTGGTATTTAAGAAGATAATGTTTTCATCTTGCACAGAGATCAGAAAAGGCACAGTAAATTAAATGAACAATATTCTTATTACTAATGACATGTGACTCTATGAGATAAATATTGTATGTGTAATATATATATCTCATTTATAAAGTTAGCTGGCATTACAGGTGGGACTACCTTAAGGTTACCTGGCAACCGCGGCAGTACAATCTCATTTTCACTCACTTTGCCAAATAAATCTTGGGGCTGAAATCTTCCATCTGGGTAGGAGCAGGGGTGATTGCTTTGCATTTCAATCAGATTAGCTTCACTGTTTCTAGACAAAAGAGCAAAGATAATGTTTTGCCAATGTTAATACAATCTGATAGCCTTTCTTTGAGCAGATGCACTGTCCCTGTTTGTTGTCATGAAGAATTAAAATGAAATGTACGAGTGGCTTATGTATCAGGGTTATGCTTTTGCTGCACTTTTGAAAACTTGGCCAAATTTCTCCAAATTTCGGAAAATCAGCCTACACGTGTTCAGTAAGGCCACTAAATTTTATCAGCTAAAGTCTCTGAAGATTCTTTTTATAGTTATATGCTAATAGTCTACACTGCAAGGGACTAACCAGAAGTTTTCCTCTATTTGTAAACCTGCACAGCTGTAGGTGGTCATTAGCATGTGACGCAGGAGCTGAGAGCAAGCAGACTTGCTTATCCTGCACTGTAATTGTGTCCGTGTAACTTAGCAGTGCCCAGCCTAAGCACAAATTGGTTACTCATGTTCTAAGCGGAGAGTACTGCAGTAACACATAGCTCAGTCCGAGTTACTCCAACCTGATTTAGAACTGTCCCACATTAAGGAATATGTTATCTAACGCTAAAGGTCTACAGAAGGGATAAATTTCCTTTTTTTTTAAATAAAAAAGACAGCAGGGCTGACTGAGGGGAGACATTGGCAAGGGGCAAGGTAGGCTGATGCTTGTACAAAGTGAACTGTGGCTGGCCTGGGAAGAAATGTGGGACAGGAGGGCAGTGAGAATAGCTGAAAGCATTGCAGAAAGAGAGGAGATGTGATGGAGCACAGAGGAGCTAGGGCAGAACTGGGCAGGGTGAACAAGGAGGCCAGGACTGTGAGGAGTCGTAAAGCTGGATGAGCATCTACACTTCATCACAATGCACAAGCTGCATCTTAGTGTTCTTTTAATAATTGTGCTTTTGTGTGTACATGCTAACTAAACACGAGAATATACCAGCCAGAATAGCAAAGGTAGATGAAAAAGAAAAGAGGACAGTCATCACCTCTTGTAAACTAGCTGTCAGGAAATCATAGCAAGATTAATTCAGAACATCTTTAATTCACACTAAACATCATATATTATTGTACATGTCTGAACATTCATCGGTGTTTAAATTTTACACAGAAGAACTTCTGCATTAAAATCAAATGTCTTTTTGTAAAATATGGCATATACACAAAATTATTCTGAGAAATTAAGTACCTGAAAAGGCAAGTACCTTATGCTCCAAGAAAAGAGTAATCTTCTTCAGTCCACTGGTCTGGATTCTTCTTATTCCCCCCTCTCTGTTCCTTACAGGCCCAGAAGAAAAAAAATATAGGCAAACCAGTGCAGCTACTGTGCAGCAATCCAAGCTCTTACAGATCAAACGAGAGAGTGAGCACACTGCAAAAGTAAAGGGCTACAGTAGAAAAGCCCCTCGCTTTTCATATCAGCGAGGCTTGAGATCAGACAGTTCTGCTGGTTGCAATTGTGGCAACATAACGTGAGGGAAAAGAGTGGCACAGGTCCAGTCACGTACCGCTGAAATCAGTGGGGCTTACAGCGGTACTGAAAACAAGGCTTCTGCTAGGTATGTTTAAGATCAAGCCAACTAAATGCATTCAGACTGTATCCCTACGGGTAGTCATTGTTCTTTAAAGGACTATCATTCTAATAACCTCCCAAATATTTTCATCTTTTTTCTTTCTGCTTACCCTATAGTATACGTAGATAGCAAAGAATCCAAGCTAAGAGAACCCAGATGAAGCTGTAGCTTTGGTTATTAGATCCCTTTTCCCCCAAGGTTTTTTCATTTGTAGACTGGGTATATTTCATCTGGAAGCTACTGACATGCAAACACAGAATTCTGCAGTGACATTCTTTGAAATCCCTCTTCAAGATGTATGTTGGGAAACACTGTGTCTTTCTGGTAGAATTTCCATTTGATGTAAGAGCAATTTCCAAAAGCTTTAAAAAAGACATATTTGGACAACGGTGCTGTCCCTCAAGCCTACAATGCTGTGTGCTTGTGTGCCTATTGCTGTAATAAGAGCTTTTGTGTGGTTCAATATCCACTTAGCACTGGATTTTCGATCATGACTTAGAAGCAATTACTATCTACTCTCAGCAAGTTGGAAGCTGAATGCTATATTCCCTCTGACTATATCTCCAAGAAGTATATGCCAATAACAATCTGAGCATTGATTTCACATTGATTAATACTAGTAGTGAAACATAAAAGGGCATCACTTAATATGCAAGTTCATCGGTCAGCTTATAGCAAACTGCTGTCTTGAAGAACATCCCAAGAAAAACCTCCAAGCATGTGACTATACCACAGGTCTACTTACAGGTTGACTTTACTGTTAATTTGCAATTTAAGTGCCAAATCCAGGAACTTGGTCCTGTGCCCAGTCAGATGGCAGAGAGAGATGTATAAGTAATTGATAGTCTCCTAATTAATGTTGGAAGTATTGAACATGCTCTGCCTTCGAGATGATAAAAAGTAGTGTCTGCAGAGACAAGAGCATATGGGGAGCAACAGATCCTTACATCCTTTGGAAGAGCTTTTGGAGTCTAGGGCTTACCTTCCTTGAAATAAGTTCCGACTTATTACTGTGCAGAAAAAAGCATACTTAAATAGGAACCAAACTATTTTCTGGAGCTAACTTGCTCTCTTAATTCAGAACATTTTATCTTTTAAATCTTCTAAGTTGGTCTTTAAAGTTGGCAAACACCATTGGTAAGAGTCAAACCACATCTCAGAGACTTCGTGGGCAGCATGGAGAAGAAAAGGGAGAAATTTTCTCATGTTTAGTCTTCGTATGTGAATATTATATGAATGCATAAAAAGAAGGTTCTGACTTGAATTTTGCCACTATTGCATTGTAAAACTGACAACATTCCCCTGAAACCAGAGAATTAATTTCAGATTGATTTATCTGTGGCAGAAAACAATCTGCAAATCAAGACTATTAAATAAACTTCTATTTAACCTGTCCCTTTGTGCTTTGCTTTACTTTGCGCTATACTTAACAAATTTAGGGATCTGTCACAGGGGAGCCATACATTAAAACTCGAAATAGTAGCATAAAAATCTATTTATCTATTTTTAAAAGAGCATATTAAGTTGAAAACTTACACAATTTCAGCTGTTCTGGGAATATTTCTAGTACTTCAAGCCATTTATTTACATGCTTAACACCAAACAGGTTATGCAAATCACAATCCGTTTCCTGGCTGGCAGAGACGTACTCAGGTCTTGCCGACCTTTCTTGACTTTGTGTCACAAGCATCTGACAGCTGTAGACGCCATGGTGTCCTTGTTCCCTCATAATGAGAGACATCTTTTTCTCAGTCAAAGGCCACAACAGATTTCAAAGCAGTTTGTGGCCCCAAATATGTATAATGCATTTATAACTTTGAGTGACCTACATTTCATGCAGCTATATGACAAGGTGTCAGTTCAGTCTCTTTCTGGACACAGCTTCAGAGAGTTTGGTTTTGCCCATGTTGTGTATTCCAAACATCTGATGGCTAGATGGTGCAATCCTGACTTTAGTATTCAAGCCTTTCAATGTACTGCTGTTATGCTTTTAAGATCTCTTTCCATAGATTGAGACTGGGAATCCTCTGGATTACAGAGAGAAAGGTGGGACACAATGAGTCCTCCGAAGTTTAGCTTGGAACTCTTGTGATATGCAGTTTAACTCCACAGTTGCTTGTAGTCTCCTTTCCCCTTGAAGCCTTTTCAGTAGAGTCTGATGGAAGAAAGAGAGCTTTTATAGTTCAAATCTTCATGCTGCCTTTTTCCGTGTATTCACTCTGCTTTCCAAACTCTCCTATTTCAGGGTAGAGCAAAACTGGAAATGGTACAGAGAAGGGCAATCAGCATGACCAAAGATCATATATGAAGTTAAATAGAATAGTCCCCTGTAGACTGGAACAAAAACAGCTGAGAGAGGACATGCTCAGTGCGTAAGGAATCATGAATGCTGGGGAGAACGTGAATAAGGAAAGCTTATGCAGTGTTTCTCACAGTACAAAAACTAGGTAGCATCAAAAACCTAAGCAAAAAGAAGCTAAAACTGTACGAAAAAAGTATTTTCTTTTGTTTGTGTGCAACTCAGCCATGGAACTTGCTGCCATGGGTGGCTGTGAAGGTCAAAAGCATAAAAAGATTCAAAAGTAATTAGATGCATTCACAGAAGAAAAAAACTGTCAGATATTACTGAATACATAAAAATAAAACCACTGTCTCAGGAAGTACCTAGTCTGCAAATTAACAGAAACTGGGAGAGTTTAC